TTATTTCGGATTCTTTCGAATTTCGTTGAATTTTTCCGGATTTTTTTTTAATTTCTTTGGATTTTCGGATTTTCTTGGATATTCCGAGTTTTTCGATTTGTTTTGAGTTTTTACGGTTTTCCTCAGTTTTTTTGTTTGATATTAGATTAATTTCAACCTACCATCACCACTTCTTTTCATATGGGCTACCTCACAGCTTCCTGCAGCTACCCAGGGGAATATGCTTGGAGTCCCTGAAGGTCTACCATATGACCGAATCAATAGCTTCTCAACGACTATCATGTGGAAGTATCCATCAGTCCGCATGATCTATCCTACGAGGTACCCATAATTTCTGATCACCCGTCGTAGAAGGGCACCCATAAACTTCCATGGCCTATCCTACAGTGGCACGAATAAGTCTGTATGGTCTATCCTATGGGTACCGATAAGTCCTCATGCCTTATCCTATACTGGCACCCATTAGTCCACATGGCCAATTGATGTTTAGTATAGTTAACTTTTCAAGCACTGTCTTACGGTAGTTCTGGTTCCTCTACAAGGGCTCTCCCGTGGAGGAATGTTGGGTACCGCTAACTGTTCAAGAAATATCTAGCATTAGTTGTCGTAGGTTTTCAAGGGCTTTCAGACACAGGACGCGCAACTATTATCCCGACGTCACTCGTCCATCATCCACTAACTGGATTCTAATGTAGTATGAAATACTGGTTTAAAGATCATGTAACAATCGTGTATTTGATTTTTCCGTTAAGAAGTAAAAGTAGACTCTGGTTTTCAGCTCGACGTAATTGAGGAACGTTATGAAGTGGTTCTACTTCACCATTAGTATTATTTCCAGGCCATTATATTTGACAAATTGGACTCAACTTTGAATTTCTCTTTAATCAAGCATGGATTGAACCTTAGGTGTACCACAGCTCCAGTTCCATAGCTCGCAAGAGCTCTGTCGAAGAGCTGGTAGACAGAATCAGCTCAGTGAACTGAACTGAAGTTGTCACAAATCTACTTATAGGTACCCTATAGGACAGCTTTGAGGACTTATGAGTACGCCCACAGGATAGGTCTTGCGGAGTTATGGGCATCCCATTATGGGTTTCCTATAGGATGTATCGTTTTCCCGAGATTTCCACCGTGCTGCTTGGGTTTCAAGGATTGCCATTGTGCTTATAGGAATGCGAAATCTTGTGAATTCGCCTTCTCTCCTATACGTAGCAGCCTTTAAAACTGGTTATCTATGTTCAACGCACTTGAAAATATGATCGGAGTATATTATTGAAGATTACTTTAGATTTTGGATTTTTTGGATTTGTTCGGACTTAAAATCCAAAAAAATTCGCTTTTCCCCCCTTGAGTTAGTGAGGACGAATACTTTGAAAGGGAAGTTGCATTTGTTCGAAAATGCGTTCACGAGTTCGGCGTGCTACATCTTTGTTGTACTAGTATTGTGATTCAAGGAAAGTCTATTGCGTACTTATATTAGGTTTAGAACGGAGTAGCTGAAAGAAAAAAATTGATTTTTCTAATTCATTTGGATAAACATCTCAGCTTCTCTTAACTCATTTGAACAAGAATAAGAAGCCCAAGCATATTTCTATAGATAGTTCTTTATGATGCATATTTTAAGCAGGATAATTTTTCACAAATATTTCTTTAAGTTTTCAATCAATAATGATTATCTTGTTTTCGTCATTTCTGTGCAGCGGTTCAGAATCATACAAACTGATCTAAGTTTACAATAAGGATCTGATTAGTAGATGCTGTACGAAAACCCTAATTAGTTTTATTAAAATTAAATTTCAAGACTATATTTAATCTTGACTTTTTTCGATAAATATATTATTTATATTTATTTCACGAAGTAAAAATATAACATCTCTATTCGCAAAGTTGCAACAGGTAGTGTTATACGAGCTAATGATGCGATTAATGAACATAGAAACAAGTTCGAGCTGTGTTTAGCTCAGAGCTAGTTGTGTTCGGTTCGTGATCGACTGGGGGTGTATTCAAATCTTCGTTCAAGCTATGATTGGAAAAATTACCACTCTGTTGCTCACAGGATTTGAGTATTATATCATAGCTCGCTATGGTGCGTTGGTTCGATTCTGACACAGAATGATAGGTATTTTTTAATCTTTTTGGAAGGCGAAAAATAAAAGCATCACGACGCGTTCGTCTTCTACTGCATTCAAACGCGTCTTTTGACATAAACGAGTTGTGATACTGTTAGTATTGGGGCGAGGGAAGACGCGTTTGCCCACTGTAAACATGTTCAGAGACCCGAAAATGTTGTATTCTCGATACAGTTCAACGTGTCAAGTTGCGTAAGTCACAGACGCTCAGGGACACGTTTGAGGTCGGAAAACGGTTACCTGGGATTTTTGCTTTATGCAGAAAAGAAAAGCGACACACAACATATATTCTAGGTAAAAGAAGACATGAATCTCGTTTGGAATGGGCTCAGTCATCGTGGATCAGATGGATATATATGGCACTTTGGTGGTGGGTTGCACCTATTTTATCAGTAGGTAATCGACGTACAATTGTCGACGAAGATCTCCAAGATATACCAGTCAATGATAAGTGTTCCACTTTGTTAAACAAACCAAATTGCGACAATCCTAAATGGCCAGGAACATGGCATGTCATTAAACGAGCATTTTTGAAAGATTATCTTCTAATCATCTTCTTCATAGTTCCGTATATTGGGACTCGTATTGCACAACCGTTGGTCCTTCGTGAAATTGTTTTATTCATTAAAGGTGAATCAGCAGTGCCTACGTACGCTGGTTATCTATTGGCCATTACTGTTTCCATTTGTTCGATGTTACAAGTCATTCTTATGCATCAAATCTTCTTTTATGGTGGACGTATAGGCATGCGCGTTCGCAATTTTTTATCATCCACCATCTATAAACATTTGTTAACGATCAATACAGCATCACTACACAATACTACTGCTGCTCAAACAATCAATTTAGTAGCGAATGATGCAAGCAAATTTGAAGATTTGGGTATGTACTTCTATTATTTTTGGGTGACACCTGTTGAAGCACTTCTGATGTTTGGTATTATTTGGCGGATTATTGGTTTGCCGACACTGTTTGGTTATGCCATACTCCTACTATATGTACCAATGCAACTCATATTCAGTAAACTATTCAGTAAATTCCGAAAGGCAACAATGACATATATGGACAGACGTGTTCAAACAGTTAATGAAATTGTTAATGGATGTCAAATTATAAAAATGTACAATTGGGAAAGAGCAATGAAGCAACGGGTACGTGAAATACGACGTTCTGAACTTTCATACATTTTCGGCTCTAGTTGTTTACGAGCTCTCAATATTGGTCTCAGTTTTGCATCCTCACCTTTAATTTCTCTTGCTACATTCGGCAGCATTTGGCTCATGGGTGAACCATTGAAAGCAGCAGACATCTTTACAACAATGTCCTTCTTCGCTTTAATTCGAATGCCGATAACCGCATATTTTCCATATGCTATCGAAAAACTCAGTGAAGCTCGTATTTCTGCAAGAAGAATTGATGAATTTCTGAAATTGGAAACGTTGGTAGACAAGCGAGAAAAAGAACAAAATGAAAAAGGAGATCTTGCAATCATTATGGAAAATGCATCATTTTCATGGAAAGATTCTCCTTGTTTGTCTGTTCTCAATAGTAGCATCAAAATTGGTACGTTAGTTGGAATCAAAGGTGCCACTGGTGCTGGCAAGTCATCTTTACTAGCTGCCATTCTCGGTGAAATGAATCTTACCAGTGGAAAACTACGACAATATGTTAATTCTATTTCGTACGCTCCACAATCGGCATGGATATTTGCTGATACTATTCGAGCTAATATTCTTCTTGGTAAACCAATGGATGAAGAACGTTATAAGAATGTCATAAAGGCATGTTGTCTTGATATCGATCTACGAAATTTTGGTGAAGTCGGTGATTTAATGATAGTTGGTGATAAAGGTGTCAATCTAAGTGGAGGACAAAAGGCTCGAATATCGCTTGCTCGTGCTCTTTATGCTGATGCAGATTTATATTTACTTGACGATCCAATCGCTGCCGTTGATCCAAAAGTGGCAAAGAAAATATTTGATCAATGCATTGGTCCACGTAGTCTTCTTCGTGAAAAGACTCGAATATTGGTTACACATCAAATACATTTCTTAGTCGAAGCAAATCAAACTATCCTATTGAAAAATGGTCGCATTGATGAATTACATATTGGACAATCTGTCCTGGATGAGCAGTCAAATGTTACAACAGAAGTCGATTCATCCAACAATAATGAAACCAATTGGACATTAAACACGTCTGCAACTGATATAAATTCAATTGTACAGGATGAGATGTCAACTGATGGGGCAGTCAAATGGAATGTTTGGTTGAAACTATTTATTGCACCACCTTTACGGTGGTTCGGATTTTTCCTTCTAATAGTTTTAATATTTGCTGCCGAAGCTCTATTCGATGGTACAAATCGTTGGCTCGCTCTGTGGTCTGAAAAATCGGAAAAAAATGAAAGTTCACCATCGGATGCTAATATTTATCTTGGACTGACATTGGGTACATTGATCGTTGCATTAATACGTGCCTTCTATATATTCTATATTGTATTAAGTGGAGCGACCTATTTTCATAATCGAATGCTAAAAGGTATCTTGTATACTTCGTTACGTTTCTTTGAAAGTAATCCTAGCGGACGAATATTGAATCGAGTAAGTAAAGATCAACAAGTGTTAGACGAATCGTTACCTCTTGCTCTGATCGATACTATACAAATGGTACTGATGATTCTCGGTTCTGTTGTAATTATTGGAATAATCAACCCATGGGTACTTTTAATTCTCGTTCCATTGACTCCTGGATTTTTGTGGATTCGCCGATATTTTCTACGTTCGAGTTATCAACTCAAACGACTCGAAAGTGTAACACGTAGTCCAATCTATACACTGTTCGCGTCATCATTAGATGGGCTCACTAGTATTCGTGCATTCAACGTTCAAAACGATTTCGTGAATATGTTTATGGAAAGAATCGATACAAATTCACGAGCTTACTTTCTTCTTATTAGTGCTGGACATTGGTTCGGTTTAAGACTCGATCTCATGGCATCCTTACTCACTTTGGTTACTGCGATTCTTGCAGTAGCAGTGCGTAACACAATCGATTCATCAGCCGCAGCACTCAGTATGACCTATTGTCTCACTATAGTAGATCTCTTTCAATGGGCTATTCGACAATCAGCTGAAGCTGAAACTTATATGACCAGTGCTGAACGTGTTCATGAATATGGGCAACTTCTTCGAGAAGATGGTAAAGAAAAACATCAAAGGAAAGCATTTATTCAGCCACCCAATGATTGGCCTTCTCGTGGTATAATTGAATTTAAAAATTACACATTTCGTTATCGATCAGAGCTTGATCCTGTGCTCAAAAACCTGAATCTACGTACTGAATCAAAAGAAAAGATTGGAATTATCGGTCGAACAGGTATGGCTATTTACCTTGTTTAATATAGGAAAGTGAAGGATTGGGATCGCTCATCTTTAGAAGTCTCAAATATAGGTAGTACAATTGAGGACTATCTATAAAGCAATCAGTATACATTTTCGAGGTACAACTTCTACAGTAATCTAGCATGGAAGAACGATATTTCAAAAGTATGAGCATTTATAGCTTTGAATCACTCTACAAAATAACGATAGGCAATCTTTTGTATTACAGCCACGAAATCCGTTTTTGTCATAAATTTGGCGTAACACAATACCCATGTAAAAATAAAATAGGCATTTAACGAAGAGAGCGTCAAAATTAATGCAAAAAATCGCGTTAAAGGACAAATTAACGAAGTTTAACGAAAAATACCTCATAAATTTTCGTTAAATCTGAAAAATTTCGTGAAAACTCGTTAAATATTTAACGCTTTTTCACGCGTGACTTTGGTTTTAACGGTCATTAACTCTGCATCTAAAAATAATAGACATTTAACGAAGTTTAACGCAGAAAACTTCAAGAACTTTGGTTAAATTTCGAAGTTCATGAAGATACGTTAGATTTTTCACACATTTTCACGCGTGATTGTGCTTGTAACAATCGTGAACGTCTTATACGACGTTCAGTATTGCATTCTTTTTCGCATGTAGCGTTTTTTTAATTTTTTTACTTGAACTATATGCTGCATTTACAAAGCGTTTGGAAAAATCATTCATATATATTGTCATCTAATATATGTAAGAACATGGCTTTATAACGAATCGTATCAACAGACGGTGACTCAATGTGAGAATTGCAACTTTGGAGTAGTGTGATACATAAGACCTATTTGATGCATGAACGGTATAATCTAATATCAAGATACTAGTAGTCATACGTTCGACGAACATTGGAGGGATTTTACAATGTTTTACAACAAGAGAAGCTTAGTTTTCGTAACTGTCAATGAAATTTTTTAGTTCTAAGTCATTGCTAAGGGTGTAAACTAAAGTTTATCGCAGAGGGCGCTACTGTAAAAACGTCCTTGAAATATTTTTGGAAGAGCTATCGATTTAAATATAAATATACGGAGAGAGTTTTATTTAATTTTTTTAATGAAAGCTTTAGTTCAGTCAGCAAATTATCATTATTCCCATCTCATCATTGACTATAAGAATATGGATAGAATAGACTCTGATAAATTATTGTTCTTCATCCAAAGAAATCTAGTGTTGAGTTTGAGATATGAAATGCATAATAATGGATTTTTTTTAAATGCACTATAACTTTCATCGAAAATCAAATTAAATTTTTTTCGTTATAAATATATTTGAGTCGATAGGTGTTCCTAAAACATTTCGAAAATATTTTCAAAACTATCGCCATCTATACTGGATGTTTGGCTTATATATTTTATCTACAAACGTTTATGATTATATTAGATGTTTGTAGTGCACTTTTATTATTGAACATCGTTGGCATCCTTCTTTGTATTAAGCAAATTTTGGAAGCTAGATCGTACTCTGAAAGTTACTCTAGAATGCATAGAGGTAAGTGAAGTCATTTTTGAATAGCTTCTAACTTATACATATTAGTTTACTGTTAACCATTTAAATTGATTTAGCTTTGTTTTGTATTACAGGGTAGACCTAGACTTGTATAAAAGTAAAATAATGGTACTTGTTAAGCTGATCGTCTACCGTATATGCAAAAAGTATTTTTAACCAATTTTCTTAAGAGAAAAATGTAACTTTCTGGTCCTAATGAATCTCACAGCCCTGCGTGTGGTTGATGGTGTAGGACTGAATTGGAAAATTACGCTTTCTTTAAGAAAATCTTAATTGCGAACTTTTTTTTTTGGACATACGGTGGAGCTCTATCTTAGCGAATACCAGAATAGTTAAATGTTTTTTGAGATGATATGTGGGTGAGAAAGAATTAAGTATGAAAGTAGAAAAAGTAGGAGCAAAAACATTCAGTAAAAACAAACATAGCTGTACAGTTGAGTGAACGTAAAATTTTTTTCTGAAAGCTTAAGATCTTTTTATATAGCTTGATTGGAAGTTTTTTTCGGTTGTTCGTTATTTAGTTGAGCTTAGTTGCTTATTTTGCTCATAGAATTCACATCTAACATGAAAACGTGACTTGCTCATCTTCAATAAATACTTCAGTTGATCTATGCATTACTGCTTAGAATTTTTTATACGTTGTAATTGTTCGCAAGTGTAATGAACTTTCTTCGACAATCGATATCTTTCTAAGTTTTCGTCGTGGATTAAAAATTAGAAGGATATCGATCGTTGAGTAAAGTTCATTGCACTTGCGAACAATGGCGACGTATAAAAAAATATTCTAAGCAGTAACACATAGATCAATTGAAGTATTTATTGGAGAAAACCATGTTGAATGAACGATGTTTTAATGCAGAAAAATGTGTTAAACAGTGCTTTTTATAACGCAGGAAGCTTCGTTAAATTATTCTTTTTTTAACGAATTTTTAAGTCACAAGGCATCGTTAAATTCATAGAAATTTTTATATGGGATATCAGCCGACTTATTTTTGATTTTTTAAGACAATGTCTGTATTTTGCTTGAAACCGAAAGACGAAAAAATTCTCTGATCACAAGATTTCATATAATGGAAAAACCAATCCCAATAAAATATTGTGAAGTTATTTTCGAAACGGTCAAAAAATAAATTAAAACCGTTTGTTCTAATATAGAATGACACTCTCTAAAATCTTCTGTCTAGCGAACAAAGCCGCAAATTACTAGCTGCTTCAATTATTCATATGTCTCCCTTTATTTCTGTTACCGACAATACCAAAGATCTATTGCTTGTGCGTATAATTATGTTTGACTGTATTTTCATATTGCGTTACTTCAAAGACTTTCTGTTCGCGTTCTATGGAAAACTGGAGTCTTACTTTTTTATTAGCTGTTTTTGTTAGTTATTTTTAATAAGAAAACTCATAAGTTCATCAAGGATCAAATAAAAATACGATTTAGTATTGCATTCATCTGCATTATCATCAAAACATATCCGCAAACTCGTCTAGGACTTCTATCAAAGACAACTGAATCCTATCAGAAAGTGTGATAATATCGTGTCTGAAACTTCGACAATCTGATCTAACTATGCTTACTTTCGAAGCAATTCATGCCTCGTCGACAGAACTTCCATCAATGAAAGTATATTTCATGAAAACTTGAACTAAATAATTTTAAGTCGACATTCTTTCCACCATTATTTTCTCATAGTTCTTACACTGTGGCAATAATTCCAATCAAAAGATATCTTTATCTTTATTTACTCATATAGAAGACATTCACGAAAACTAGGCTCTATTGGCCTATTGTAAAATAATTTCAATTTTCGAATGCACATACTATCTCAGGAAATTGGCATCAATATTAACTGAAGCTGACGCCATATTCTAAGAATCATGGAATCTATCCATGGGCGATATTTTAGTAAAAAAATCCTTAGTTTCAAATCTTAGGAAACATATTGTCATACGTTGAAAATTTATTACAATGATCATGAATCGAAAAGTAAAATCTATTGGGAGGACTCCTTAAGGACGTTTTCTGATGTCAATATCAATATGATCTCCTCAATGATCAGAGTTATACTTCAAAAGCAATGTTTCATCTGTGCATGTCTCTTGGTAAGACAAAGATCTCAAATTTAGGATAGGAATTCTAATCGAAAAAAATATTTCTAAAACTTAAATTAAGCTTGACATGAATAGATTTCTTTAGCAGATATTTTCTCAATCAAGTTAATGGGAAAAATGAATATTAATTTCTTGAAAATCCGTCGATCCATTGTATAACCCAATTCCATACATAGAAAGGGATTACTTCATCAAAAATATAGAGTTAAAATACTTGAGAAATAACTAAACTATGCGTATTTCATTAGAAGACAAGTGAAAACAAAAAATCATGTATATGGATGAATTTATTTTAAAGAGTTTTACTGATGAGATTTTGAAAAATTTTGAAGAATTTTTTCGAGATATTTTTCTGTATTTGAAAAGTTTACAGAAATCAAATTTAGATATTAATCGATGAGTTTGGATTATGAAGATCGCTATTTTGTTTAGGTGCTGGAAAATCATCAATTTTACAAGCTCTTTTTCGACTTGTCGATCAAACGGCAATCGCTGGCACTATTCTTATCGACGACGTTGATATTAGTAGACTTTCGCGTGATTCTCTTCGTTCTCATCTAAGTGTTATTCCACAAGTACCGATACTCTTCTGTGGTACACTTCGATACAATCTTGATCCATTCAAACAGGCCTCTGATGAAGAATGTCTTAGAGCTCTTGAGGCTGTTCAACTTAAACATTTGGCCCGCAGTAACCTAGATGGACTCAGTCTGTTGGTGGCTGAATCGGGTAGCAATCTGAGTGCTGGTGAACGTCAACTGATCTGTGTGGCACGAGCCATTCTTAAGAAGAGTCACATATTGCTTGTTGATGAAGCCACAGCAAACGTTGATTATGCGACAGATCAAATGATTCAAGAGGTTATTTCTGACAAGTTTCGTGATCGTACCATACTGACGATTGCACATCGATTGAATACAATAGCCAACAGTGATCGTATTCTTATGTTGGAAAAAGGAGAAGTTGCTTATTTCGGTTCTCCTAGTGATATTGATCTTTCTTAATGTGATGAATAAAAGACAAACTGATTCTTATAACTGCATACCGCGCATGAGAATATTCATAACGCTTTTACTAACACTTAGGGTTATTAAAAAGTAGTAGCAGAGGCTCTTTTTTTTTTCTTATAAATAGCTATAAAAAAAATTCTTTTTTTACGAATAGATAGAGCGTCTTTCGCTCTATGTTTCTATGCTATTTGATCAGTATCCAACCAAGAACATAGTAATAATATCTCGATAAAAACTTTTTTTTATCGAACTCTAGCTGGTAACAATAGTGCATAAAATCATCTGCACGTGTTTTTTTTGTTCTTTCTTTCATCATCGTCTTCTAATCTTTTATAATAACTAACCATCTATATATTTCACAGTGGACAAGAAGTAATAGAGATAGAAGAAAAAAAATACAAGGATAAGTTTATCAATTGTTTATTTTTTCAAATGTTCGAAATAATCATCTTGATTATCTATACACAACTGCATTCTTTCAGTCCATTTTTCAAATGTTTTTTTATATTCTTCGTTACTCAAAGTGTACATGAAATTGACCACAGCATCATATAATGATTGTGAATTACTTTGATCGATTAGATTTTCTTTGATTAAGTCAAATAATCAAAAATTGCATGGTGATAAGTCGGAAGAGTTAGGTAGATGTTGTATTATCGTAAAACCTTTCGATTGGAGATAAGCAGGCACATCTCTATGAACATGTTGTTTTCCATTGTCATGATGAATTTTAATGTTACGGGTTCCATATGAAGGTCTTTTGTATTCAATTTCATCGATGAATCAGCAGAGGACTGTTCGACTGGAAAAAGAGGACTAATCAGATTCTTGGAGCATACTTTGTCGAACTACAGTAGGTGAAGGATCTCCTCTTCTCATCCACGCTGCATTTGATGACTTTCGACCAATTTGTTTATGATAAAACCACGATTTGTCACCAGTTATTATATCACATAATCGCCATGCTCCTTGTAGAAATTTCGATAAATTTTCTTTAAATATTCGAACTCGTTCAGCCCGTTGAAAATCGGTGAGATCTTTGGGTATATAACGTGCGGTGACCTTCCTAAGGTTTAAATAACTGGTGATGATTCGATGGATCGTGTCATAGCTTAAATTAGTTTGCTCTTGTAACTCTTCTACTGTAAGATAAGGATCATCATCGATAAGAAGGCGAATCTGTTCGATATTTTCAGATGTTGTTTCAGTGGTAGGTCTACTAGGTCGTGCTTTATCTTCAATTTCTTCTCGACCTTCACGAAACAGTTTGGACCATCTTTCCAATGTTCTGAGAGAGGGAGCTTCATTACTATAAACAGAATACAATTCATCATGAATAATTCTTGCTTGAATATTGAATGCAGTACGTACTTTAATGTAAAAACGAAAGTTTTCTGTACTCATTTGAAACAAGAAAATAGGGTCAGAGTTTAACTTGATCCTATTTTTCTGACTTTTTTGAATATAAACAAGTAGACGACACGTATACACAGGGTGTGATGGATGTGGCTGTGGCTGTGAAATGTGGGGCGTAGGTAGATGTCGGTGTGGGTTAAAAGAAGAACTGCATCCACATCTACACTTACACCTACCCATACCCACACCCTGATAGGTCAAAATATGATGTATATAATGGATTTTTGTCATCAGATTAAAGTAACTATTAAGTTGTTCGTCACTTAATATATAGGAGATTATCAATACTTTATGTTTACTTTTAAATACAGTACAACATTGAAATACAATGATTTATTATTATTTTAAAAAATGATTTTTCTCATTCATCTCACAATCATTTAATTTTTAAGAGAACAACAAAGATTGAGTTTCAAGATGCTTCATTTAATGCTACATAGTCGTATTTAATTGAAAATTTCTAGGTTTGACTGTTGCCATGAGTGGTTGAATTTTGAGGGTGTGGGTGTGGGTATGTTTAATAGAAGAAGTAGACCCACACCCACATCCACCCACACACCCCACCCACCCACACCCACACCCACACACCCACATCCACCCACACACCCCACCCACCCACACCCACACCCACACACCCACACACCCCACACCCCATACCCACACCCACACCCAGACTCACACCCCACACCCACACCCAGACTCACACCCCACACCCACCCTCACACCCACACGCACACCCACACCCACACTCACACCCACACCCACACTCACCCACACCCTTTTCACATGTTTTATTTAAAAATTTACAAACTTGTGTTCACATGCGTGTAATTCTGACATGCATGTCTGTGCAAGTGCTATTGTCTTGCGTTTACACACAAGATTCAAATATTCTAAAAGAAACTTGCGTGTTCCTGCGTAAAGTTTGAGGAAATCAAAAATATACTGCAAGCACACGCAAGACTCTTAAATTTTCTCACGTGGCATGCGTGTTTTCAACATTGATCTTGGACTGGGTACCACCATTTA